TATACGGTGTTAGTTCAATAGTTAGTGGCTTTCCAGAAAGCCACCACGCAGAACTCTGAACCCACCCGCAGAGCGGGAACATGCCGTAGTTGTAGGCCAATTTCCGAGATTGGTGGAACGACTACTGGCGTTTGGGGAAGGAAGAACACTATGAGATGACATGAGAGTGGGCTCACGTAGATTCTGGAAGTCAAATTTTACCACGCCATTTTTGCGAGAGAATGGAATGAGAGTTATATGCCCTTCAGCAAGGGGCCCGCTCGGTAGAGGAGTACGAGCGCGACTGCCTCATAAAAGCGCGTTTGCTCGTCACCTCATCGATACCGAGAAGAAGAAAGCAACCGGTTTTCGGAACAACCTGAGGAGCGACATTCTGATTCTAGTGGCCAACCATGGCTATGAAAAGCAAGTTGTAACTATAAATCAGCATTTTCGAAGGTTAGATAACAGACATTACAGACGAGCGTGATTGTTGTACGCACAGTTATAACGGGGATCGTGCGACGAGCCACATTGATAATAAATGAAGAGATAGAGAGAGAGAGAGAGAGAGAGAGAGAAACTGCTCGAGATTTTTTTTAACGAATTAGTGTTAGAAATGTGAAAAGAAGAATAAGTCGATAGATATCAGTACATAGGTAAGACAGTGGACTTTTCATTGTCTGAACTATGTACGCTTGAGTAAAGTTCTAACTCTAGAGATTGCCTCACTTAAAACTGGCAAGATGCCTTCAAGCAAGTAAAGAAGCGAGGGTTTCAGTGTATAAGAGTCGTAGGTTCGGGTAAGTCCTGGAGGCTTGAAATAAAAGCCATAAGTCCGGGAAGAACCATGGAGGCTTGAAACTGAACCATAGTAAACATGTTCCCGTATGAGGTAATCTCTAGTAGTCAAAGAAGGAGAAGATCAAGTTTAACAGAACAAGAGCAAGGATCACATGTTAAATCACAATTTGACACCACGATGACTTACTCGTCGTCTCGAAAAAGAATCCATCACCCACAGAAGATTCCGATAGTATAAAAATGCACAAACAATAGTCCGTAGCAGCCACCAGTAG